GAGGGCTGAAAAAGAAGGATGATTTCCTCCCCTTAATAATAGTTAACTTCTGTCCTTTATAACTACGTACTGGTTTAATCTTAACATCCTATGGAAGCTAATTCAAATTTCTAAATAAGGGCGTCAGGATTCGCAAACAAAAATTCGATCACAAAGGACTCTTGTGTCATCCTCTTCCAGGAAGTGTAGATATTTTACCATAAACTTTTATTGGAATGACAGTTGTTTAAAGATAGGCAGTCGGGATGTGGGATCGCCCCAGCCAGAGTCATATGTCAGTTAATTATGTTGAATAGGGGCGTAGTCAGAATCAAGTTATCATCTTCCTCCTAGGCGAACAAAACCTTCCCGTTGCATAAGAGTAACTTAATTGACTACATTAAGACCATTAAGGGCATCATGTATTGCAATGTGTAGGATAGACTGTACGTATATGTTACGCGATGATTCCAGTTGTAATTTTGCATTTGGTTGCTCACGACTTAAGTGACATGGCGTTCCAGGCACGTCATTTCTTTTAGCGGTCTATTGAACTTTCTGCACATTTTTATTAATGTTCCATCCCGACTCCTATGCCTTATAATGTCATTGGAGAGGATTCATGCACTCTACAAGTGACAGTAGTATGCAAACTCGATCTAAATGGTTGGCAGTCATGATCCTACCATCACAAAAGTAGGTAAACAGTGAGGATGCCTGAGTCTGAGACGACTCGAATGATTATCAAAGCAACGTGGAGAGATGGCAGTCACATCAATGCAGCAAATTTGCTGTAAGCTAATTAACAAAGAGAGTGACATCGCTCACAAATGTGGAAGACGATGCTTCAAACTCGTGTCTTGTAGCTGAAACGGATCACAGGTAGAAAATTTGGCAGCACTGCACTAAAAACAAGGTGGCAAGGAGGAATGGACGCAGGCTACTAGTCTAAAATAAACATCTTTATATTTCAGTATCCATGTTCGTTCCCAGACAGAGATTCCTAGGACATAAGGAGAGCAATCTTTGTCAAGCTATCACCCACCCTGAGCAGTGAAAAGCCGAAAAATCAAAGCAATGCGGTTCATGGATAAGACTTGACTCTCGATCCTTCAAAATCAACCAGATAGATCATTCACTTGGATATGGGATAGCATTGACGGAGAATTACTGTATAAGCCCGTTCCACGGATCCCAGTTACCAACATAGTGACTTGCAAGATGTCGTGTTCATGGCATTCCTGCTAAATTGTACCAGGACTCTAGCTAGATCAATGCAATTTATAACGCACTCAGGATACACTCAAAGGCATAAATGCAAGAAGTACGATTTTCTTTATCTGAGTAACGACAAAACCCCTTTGATTAAAGGAATAGCTTTTCGAAGAGTGTGGAAACACGGATGAGAACGAAGGCATAGCAGTAGCTTAAAGTCAAGTAAAAGCTGTAAAATTAGAAAACACAAATCGTACATATGCCACGCCCCAAAATTAACTGTGTAGGACGAGGCTTGTTAATTTTCTCTTCTACTCTTTGAACGCCCAAGGCTGATTTGGTTTTGTTATGTTTATTGCCTATGGTAAATGTGGGAGTGAGTACAAGGTTAGGGAGGTTTAGTCACGGAACTCTTCGCCAGATTGTCGGATATTAAGCACTCCTCAGTTACAGATTCCATCTGGCTACCAGCCTCCTTCCTACAAAGAACATTCAAACAATACAAGTATTACACACTGTTAGCTTAGTTTAAATAAAGTGGTGTGTCGAAAGGCATTAGTTGCATTGCTTAAAGTTCCGAATAAAAAAAACAGAAGTTTAGAGCTATTGGAACCATTACACACTCTCATAGATTATTAAAAAGATAAAATGGGCTCCATCTTTAACATCAATTGTTAATAAATTCTTCTTAGCAACGGCAAAATTGGCTTACCAATTACAGCTTATTTTGTCACCAATGCCTTACTGTTCTCTGCCCTTTTAAATTTAGAAATACACTAACAAAGCGCGGGTTTATTTTTTTTGCTTATTAGGCCTGAGTCGTAAACTAAGGTTTTTACAATTGGTTCTAGAGTTTAAGTTTCTTGCTCCTGCTCGCGCTCCTTATAAGCTGGTCGGGCTTCCCGTATCAGTGTGCAAAGGCTATCGGAAGATTAAATATCACTGGAATATTTGGTGCTCAGTATGGCTGACGTAATACAAGAACTTATAAGGAAGCCTCCATGTCTCTCTCCGGAATTTATTGCTAGTAAAAATAGGAAAATGGCTCTTTTAGAAATGAATGAGCTTGTGAATAAATGCAAAGGCCGATTTAAGATCCATGATGCCAATGAACTAGCGGGTGAATATAAGGCGGAATATCATAGAATACATAGCGTGTATCTTTCGGGCCCTCCTATCCGACGCAATCTCAAATATTCGGACTTGTGCATATTTGATTCTTCCAGTGGTGCGGTGACCTATGTACTTACATCCTTACCGCCTATTTTCTTCAATTTTCAACTAAATGGCGATTACCCACATGATCAAAATTTTGCTTTCTGGATTGAATCTGCTTGGCTTCCATCTATGCTTATCGAAGTACTTACGGCTAATTTGTCCAATGTTATGGCGTCCGATTCTAATGACGGCTCTCTTAAGGCCTGTTGCGAATATCTTCAAAATGTCGCTCTCTCGTCTTTATTTAGCTTGGGCGATCCAAATTCTCTGGTAATAAATGCTATTGAACTTTTTGATAAACCTGAGGAGCGTTTTCAGTTCGTTGAAACCTTGATCGACTTCGAGGAGGAAATGCGAGACAAAGAATTTGAATTAGGCACGTATGAGTGTCCAGTGTGTCTTGATAATTACGAAGGTACAGCATGCATACGTTTGAGAGGTTGTGGTCACATTTTCTGCAAGACTTGCGCTGCCCAATCTATTGCTGAGAGTGTGAAAAGTGGGGCTAACTCTGGCTCACCACTATGCGCTTCGTGTGAAAAAGAGGTGCATCCAGTGGAGGTAGCGAACCATTGTCTTTTTGCAAAAATAAGTTGTCGCAAGACGTCTACTTAATGCAAAGTTCCCTTTCAGGTAAGACAGATTGTCAGCCTCGAAGTCTACGAGCAATACGAGACGATGCTTCTCAACCGGACACTGAGCTCCATGCAAAACGTGGTTGAGTGCCCCAATGAGGATTGTAAAAATCCACATGTCATGTTGGCTGATGATTTCGTGGAGGGTGTGTGCGCACAGTGCATGTTTCATTTTTGCGCAAAGTGTCGACAACAGTTTCACCCTGACACTGCTTGTGTCTCTGGTCCCCTTGCTAACTTGAGTCCCGTGGAAGGTACTCATTCTCTTTCTATCCATTTATTCATTTATTTTTAACGCCTAAATCATGTGTAGAAATGGGGCAGGTGTCTGGTTTTTTTTCTTTTTTATTTCTCCTGTAGCCCGTGACTTAGTCGAGCGCTACGATAATGCCGGGCCTGACGGCAAAAATATGCTTGAGACGCAGCATGGAAAACTCAATATCCTCAAATTGATTCAGGAGGTAGCGTCGAATACTTTCATCAGTACCCAGTGTAAACCCTGCCCCAACTGCAAATCCCCAATTTTGGTGAGTTCCGCCTCTTTTTTGCGCAAAAAAAATGGTCGTGGACTGCGTATTTTTACACAAACTAATGCCCCCGATGCCACTATCAGCCTGTTTTTCTTTTTCTCCGTGCGCATATACATCCATTGGCTTGCTTAGAACTGCAAGGTCTATAATGAGTGTGGTAGTTTGCGTCTCTCTCCCCATTCACGTTTATCTCTTCCGTTTTAATGCAGAAATACACCGGCTGCAATCGTGTGATGTGCTCATCATGTCGGAAGAATTTTTGCTGGATATGCTTGGTTGTCATAGACACCGCAAATCCCTACAACCACTTTTCTGAAGCTAGCTGCAAGCTTTGGCAGAAGTGAATTACCTGCTCTCTGGGTACTCACCCCGAGTTTTCATCATTTCCTTCCACTCAAGACCATGCCTGTATTTAATAACGAATATTTTCCTCATAACTAGCTTAAGCATGGACGTCATTTTCCATTTTGGACTGGAAAATCTTTTTCACATCGAAAGTGAGTAGGTACGAGGTAAAGGGTGTTCCAAAGCCTTCACGAACTAGCAAGAAGATGTTCTGTGCTGGTTAAGGAGGTGTATATTACCGGTTGTAATACTTCGGTGTGTACATGCGTTTTAGAAAAATGGAGGCTGCAACCACATGACTTGTCGCAGGTGCGGATACGAGTTTTGTTGGCTCTGCTTTGCCCGATACAAAACTTGTTCATGTTAGTGCTATCAAATGTGCTCTCTCTTCTAATAATTTACACTTATACCTCCACCCTCCTTCTTGTCAATGGTGGTTTCTAAGGTGCTGTACACTTTTGTGCAATCAACGACAATTGGGTTTTGGGCAAATTAACAAGTTAACAGAACTTATGCTCCTTGGATTTTGAATGGCCCTCCGTAGTTCAATGAATATTATATTGGCTAAGATGTGCACAAGATCCGGTGACCTAATCTGACTAATAGATGGTACCAAAACCGGTTGCGTATCAAGGCTGGCTGAAAACTGCCGTAGGAATCTTATCGCACTTACAAATGCGATAGGCAGTAGACAAGTTATCGTAAGTGGGAGTAAGACCAACATGCGTGCAGTAGTAAGAGGACCTATTTAAAATTGGCAAAAAATCGACCCGCATACGTCTCCATTTCCTTCAAGAAAAGTTTTTGAATTGCCAGACCTAAGTTGGGTGTGGCTAGAAGGGCCTACGAAATAGCACATGCGGATTCCTTGCGCTAGTCAATCATTGCGGTAGTCGACGCAGAAGGGGTGACACAAGCACAGTGATAGTAACTGTGACTTAATGTTAGCAAGGATCAGCGTCTTTTTTGGCGGTCTGCAGTAATACTGCGGTGTGTGATTCAGACTAGTGGTGGGTGAATTCCACGGGGGTACCTCGGTTGAGTAGCAGAGATGTTAAAAGCGCGTTGCCCTTCGAGTTGAGGCAGTAAAATTAATTTTGGGGGTTTGGTGTTAGGCCCCGAGCTGTTATTACCCGAGTGTTTTTGGGGTGAAAATAATGCGACTGGGGCCCGACATCCAGGATGACATGGTACATCATACTAAGTCTTTCTCGAAGCCGTCGTGAGGTATACCAAGTTGGGAGGCGGATTAATAAGCTACAGAAATGGGAGAACTCGTATAGCCAACCAAACATTGAAGTAACCACCTAATCGCTGCAGCGACCTCAGTATAATCTCAGAAGCAGTGCATTTGGAACGGTCAAAACTTGTTATAGCAAATTGTACCAAATTGTACTACTAGTTTTTCCTCAGTAAACTAAGGGATAATGTTACCAGTTCTACATTAGCTGTCTGTAATGCAATTTCAGGGTGGGGTGTGCGGATTGAATAATGGTTCTGGGAAATCTCCCACAAGATGATTCTAAAATTAGGCTACCAAATTTGACGTACCAGGGGCGATTCCTCTTCACTTTTTAGCCCTTTTTAAACAATTCAAATGAGTCCATTTGTAAATTACTATAAAACAACAGGTCGAGTGCAACGAAAGTGCCTGTAAATACTGGGGTTTGTTAGAGGAAGATGTTAAACAAACAAATGAACCAAATAGGCCTCAAATGAGTGCATCTTTTTTAAATAAGCACAATGAGAATTTGTTAAACTTGAATGCCGGAATGAGTAGTTGTAGCGTCATGGGACTTTCTGAAGACAAGAGAAGACAAAATACTCGGGCAGAATATATATTCAGCGCAGAGAAGGTGTCTGGGCTATTGGCATGGCCCAAAAGGCCAGCCCACCAAGCGAGGCAGAAGGGGGCTAATTCAAAGTACAGAAGTGGCTCCTCACCAATACCAGGGGATAAACCACTATCGTTTTACAGTAGCGACTGATTATCTTCGAAATATGATGTTCCCTATGTGCAACAAAAATAACTAAAACATATTGCAAGAATAATCGAGCCTTTTGGGGATATTCTGTACTCACTACTGTAAGGAGTCTTTTTTGATATTATCAATAGTCTGCCTGAAGAATGACTCTAAAAATCAGGATTCAGGTTCTAGTGCTATGTTAATTTTATCACCAATATGGCATATTTAGGCATTCGTCTTAACACATTAGTAACACACCACATTTATTGACGATTGAAAATGCAAGCAAGCTGTTATAAAATAAACTATTTTTTAATTTGTGTCCTTTTTTTTATAAAATTGGGCTTTTAAGGTATGAACTAATACTAACTATCATTCAGAGCCTATTTTCAAATTGTTGGTTTCGGGCCGTTACGGGGTCAAGTTGCATGATGGATGAAAATGAGAGGAAGGCTCGTGAGTACATAGCCAGCGCTGCTAAGCACCCAAAAGGGGGATTCTTCCGTTCACTATTTTCAGGGTTCGTAAAGTACATTGGTATTTGTCCTCGTAATAGCCTTCTTGCCAAGCGGCAATGTCGTATTTAGATGTTTCAAAAACGTGCAAGTTCTTTTGAGATGATGTCACTATGAGTGAGTGAGACCCGAAACGTTGAGATCCGAATAACATAGTTGCATCGTATTGGTGTTTTTTGCAAAGCCTATTGAGGAGCCTTTGCAATTTGGATGTCCTGTTTCATTTCACCCTCTTTATTTAAAAGGTCAAGAGGCTAGTTCTGTATGATCTTATGATGGGAACACTGATTTTAGAGTACTGTATTACTGATTTTTGCGCGGCTTCCGTTTGCTTCACTGGTTAGCAATCGTTTGAACTAAATCATTTCAGCTTGAAGTAAATGTCTATTGTACTACCTCTTTTGTAGTGCCATTTAAAAAACTTGACAATGTTTCTATTCTCACTTGGGACTCGAGTTATATCCTAAGAAAAATCCAAGAACAAGTTTATGCATGTATTAGTGACATAGGTATTATGACCGTAGCTTCTTCCCATTTACCTACTAACCGAGGAGCTGGAGTGTAATTTTCTTATTATTATGCTTTGGATTCAAGTAAGGCTTCACCTCCTCCTTCACATGTAGCGGCTCTGACGGAACAGAAGAGCGCGTCGCCCTCTACGAGCGTGCAGCTAATTGCTTCAAAATGGCCCATAAGTGGCAGGAGGCCGGAGACGCCTTTGTGCAAGCCGCTGAGCTGAGCGCCAGCAACAAGTCCCAGTTGGATGCCGCCATGCACTACGTAAGCGCCTCTGTAGCCTACCGCAAAACCGATCCTAATCGTGCTATCACCTGTCTCACTCGCGCTGCGGACATCTACATCGAAATGGGTCGTTTCACCATTGCCGCCAGGCACCACATGACCATGGCTGAGATTTACGAACAGGAGCTGGCCAACGAGGCTGAGGCTTGCAAGCATTACGAACGGGCTGCTGACTTCTACAAGGGTGAAGAGTCTACCAGCTCGGCCAGGAAGTGTATGCTTAAGGTGGCCCACTACTATGCCACTTCTGGACAGTTTGAGAAAGCCGCAAGAATTTTTGAAGAGGTATGCGCCTGTCTGATCACTTTAATCGACCGCTTCCTTTCTTTTGAATCGGTGCAACTTTTTTTGCTTTTCTAAGGCCGGTGTATCTTCAATGGACAACAAGCTACTGCACTACGGGGCCAAAGAGTACCTCATGAAGGCTGTAATCTGCGATATGAACTACGATATTGTGAAGGGTCACAATACTCTTGAAAAGTTTGAACTAGACTATCCCATGTTTTGTGATTCACGTGAATGCGCTCTTCTTAAGGCAAGTCCATTCACGTGATGAAGACAACCACAGATGAATTTTAAGTTAACCGATAAGTGGTTTCTGTTATTAATCAGTTTATCTGAAAGGTCAAATTCATCGTCTTTGCTGAGATTATTTTACTGAATTACTACGAGTAGAAATTGTTCAATCCTTGCAGAAAGTTGATGAAGCTTTGAGTTCTGAGAATCTGGAGACCTACACAGCCGCCGTGAAGGAGTACGATAGTGTCACACGACTGGAGCCTTGGATGACTGAGATGCTGCTAAAATTAAAGAAGACCCTCAGCAACGAGGAGGATATCACTTAGTTCGTAGCGTTTTGTCTTGTCTCAAAGTGCATTCCCTTTACAGTGTTGTTGACTTGTGTGTCTGTTACTACTGCAGTGCTTGCCCCATTCCTCTTCTCTTCAGAAGTATTCTTGATGGACTCCCTTCCTTATTGAACATTGTCAAAGGCATAATTCTTTCAGTATTCTCTCTATTTATGCCTCCCTCGAGGTGGTTTGCACCAAGAAACCTTTATTTATTAATCTTGCTACGAGACGTAAGTTTTTAATTGCTGGTTAAATCCTGGCTTTGTAGTGCAGTAGTAGTGACATGTAGCGTCGTGAGGTAGGATTTCTGCCATCAACGTAAATCAGGCCTAAGAAACCAGCAGTATAGATGTTGAGCAGGACTCCATGTAAAGTCATTGGAAATTGGGAGCATAAAAAAACAAAGTGTGACTCGGTTTTATAATCCTCTCTTTTTGAGTGCTCTTCTAGGGGCTTCCCAAAATAGTCCTCCCGCTTCCACCCCCACAAAGTAGTCGGGTGAGCTAAATCCATCCTTGAGTCAGGTACGAGAATCAGACAATAATTTCCACCGGTCCTGCAAGTTTTGACAGATCAGTCTTCACAGCTTGCTTACTCAATGCGTTGTAAGAATTCGCGTTCTACAGCAAGTGTATTTTGTATGTTTGAAAGCAGAATTGTTTCACAATCCATACCAAACAAAGTTTAAACTCATAGCTGCATCCATTTTTCATTCCAACACCTCATTGTTTAACAATCTAGATGATGCCAAGACAGGTTTGGAATATTCTCGATTCCACTTAACATGGGGTGATACCAGGTCCTCTGATTATGGTTATTTTTTTACTCTCACGATTGTAATTAGTGCTTTAAGGATGACTTACATTTGTCCAAACCTTATCTTCATCTTTTACTGTTTATTGTAATTAACTCAGGAGTGGGGTGGATGCCAGAGGTTGGCCCGGTTTCGATAGCACTCCTGACTTGCGTCTCAGTAAGCTCTGCCATCTACAACAGATGCCCTTCCTCTGCGAAACTTTGGTATTTTGCTCGGCCGGTGAAGAGGGTGATTCCGCTGCCACCCTGGTAAGATTATGGGCTGTGTGAGACTTACGAATCAGAGGATAGGAATTACAAAATCAGTAGCATTGACGAAATGAATGTGGTTACATGTCAAGTTGCAGTGACTACCATTGTTGTATGGATAATACTCTTGAAAGACGAGCATCTGGCCAAACTGTCATGTAAGTCAAGTGAGCCATTTAAGGCGATGGTGTAAGCATCGAGGCATGGGCAAACATAGACGACAGTCGCGTGTCAATTAATGAAAAGGCGCGAAATTGGGGAAGGGGTTTTGTATTCCTCAGAATTGGTTGCATCATGTTTTTCTGATGCAGTCTCTGCATTTGTATGTGGATCGTGACTTCGCCTTAAAACCGGAGGCTTCGAAACAGCGTATCCACTAAAGCCCTGATCTCTCGGAATATTGCAAGCAGGCGTGAAGGTTTACTACATTACCCAACCGCGGTGTCAAAAAGGCCACCTCATTCTTGGTCAACGTTAGGGTGCAGGGCTAATGGCTTCTGCTAAGCACCATCCACATAAACTAGGCATATTTTTATTTCGTTTTTTGGCATTACAAAGTCCAGTTTAGTCATCTGGCTGGCTACCTTTTAGACGAGATCGACTCCCGTTTCAAAGTCTAATTTGGTGTTTCGTCACAGCGCGCGGAGATATTGCAAGCTGAAATAGGCATGACTAATTCTCCACATCAGAGGTAGGTAGAAGTACAAGATCATAACCACTTTTGTTTGTTAAGTAATAACAGGTACACAGTACTGGGTGGAAGAATGAGATAGGGATAGTCATGTTTATTGCATTGTTACATCAACAGAGGCTGTCAAATTGTCACATCACCCTCCAATTGATCGTTTTCATCCACCATTTGGTTACAGTGTTGGTGGTGGAGGTGCTTACACAGGGGTACTTGTCCGAGTAAATCACCGATTGACCACCACTGTTTACTCCGGTTGTCATTGTGGTCACAGTCACGAACGGGTAGGCGCGTGTTGCAAAAAGCCACGGGGACAAGATGCGCACACTTATGGGCGCGCACACTGATCAGAGCCCTCTGGAAGCATTTAATCACCAGCTCTTGTGGCTGTGCCTTTACACTTCCTCCTGAATGCTTGGCAAGTTCCTATTTTATCCCCGATACTAAGTAATTCAGTGCTTAATCACAGGGACTAAGACGTAGTTGTCTGTACTCGAGTTAGTGACGCCAATGCTATGAGAGAGACGAGTCTAAATGTAACTTATGTGGGGGGGGGGGGGGGAAGAAAGACTAGTAGCAAAGCCCTGTACCTCCAGTGAGGCGGCTGTTTTACAGAAGACTGTAAGCCTTGGGCTCTATTACGTGAACTTGTTTGAAATTTAAGCATGCTTATGGTGTCGAGAAGGAGGAATTGTGCTGTTTATCAAGGTCACTTCCAATTGATGGGCACAACAAGGTCTGCGTATTTCCCGCCTAGACTGCAATAAGTTATCCAGCCTAGCAGCAGATCTGACACCATTTGATGCAGGGATAATCTGACATAGCAGCGTTCCACCTTTCAAGTTACCTATCAAATGGACTTATACAATTTTTACTTTGAATTCTGGAAAACGTGCTTGTGATGGCATCAAGTGAGGTGTTTAAGAGTTGTGGAAAATAAGGAGCGTCATCGAAAACATATTTTTTTATCAACTCATTTTTAGAATGTTCCGCTCAAACATGCCCCTAGCCGTGACAAAGGTAGCAGGCATACCTGTAAGGGCAAGATGTTAGGTTTTAGCCGAGAAGTAAGCATCGCGAAGCATCCTCAACTACCTGAACGGGTTGTCACCACCACGTTAATGTCCGGGCTACCACGAAAAGCGGAACGGTTTATGTGCTAGACTCCGATAATGCGAGTTTACTACTTTTGATGATCGATGGAAGCAAATTATTAACGTACCCTCATCTCTCTCTCTCTCTCTCTCTCTCTCTCTCTCTCTCTCTCTCATCACACACCTTGCAGGCAGATTGCGTAGTTCTGGCGGAGCGCCTGCAAAGCAACAGACGGCATCTTTTTCTCTCTCTCTCTCTCTGCTCCCAGCCAAATTGCTTGTGTATGCAATATAACCGAAGAAAGGCAGCTGGGCTAAAATAAACAGATAAATTACAGAAACATCTGTTTTAAAGGAAAAAAGTGATACATAGATAGCTGTTAGCTCGATTGTGTTTGAGGTGAAATAAATATGATGGAGTGTTTAGGCCAGTTGGGGACTCCGGGATTAAACCTTTATAAACAATGTCCTGCCGTATTAGGCCAAACACCGCGGATCAAGATGAGAGACAAGCGGTAGTTTTTGTGTTGGTAAATGAGATCAAAATACCTGAACCCACGATTATCAAGTCGTAAAGAGGAGCTGCAGGACGGTGTGGCTGTACGGCACACCCACAGTATGTTTGAAGTCGGTGACTCCTTGGGCTCTGATGATCTCGTTTCCCAAACGCAGCCTTAACATCAAGCCAATGGAATGCCTGCAATGGGGAAAAATTGTCCACGAGAAGGACTCCTGTAAGAAAATGAAATCACTTGTAGTCATTTGAAATTCAGGAAAGCATGACCGCTTCCGACACTATTGACAACGCCTTAGGATGATTAGACTACAGTGACAGATCTTCCATCTTTTAAAATTTATTCTTTTCTTTTATTATTTCTTTATTGCTTCTTATAATTCTCCTTTATGGCTTCAAAATTCGTAAACTTGGAATATTTGGTCCCTCTTGACGTAGCCCCTTAAGGTTAATTGATTTCTTGAGGTTCGTCGCCTCAACGAAAAGTTACATCATCCAATAGAGTGACTGCTACCATCGATCAAGATAGAATTTGGAAGATATGATGGTGCGCGAGAGTCCTACGGTGAGCCCTGGTTGCATCAATGCTCGCGGGCCTGCGTGCAGCCATTGCACATGCCAAAATAACCAGGGTCAAACGTTTAACGCCAGTTGCTCCAGCTTTTAGCAAACTCCCACATGGAAAAGCCGGAGTGACCACCGCATTGTAACTTCATCGCTCAAGTGGAAGTGGTATGAATTAAAAAAGAGCAATTTTCCTCATCTATTTTTATTCAGAAATCGCCACGATGCGGTAGGATCAAGGGATGAGATGGTTCAGCCAGATTGGTCTAATAACCATCCCATTTCCTCCCTTAAGGCGAATCATTTCAAGACACATCAGACTGGGCGATCATGAAATGGAGCCACGCAGGTTCAAAAGGGTAGGTTATTTTGCACCCAGTAAAGGAGGGGACCCCCAAACAGGGATGCTATTGGCCCTGTTGAGTAGGTAAGACAAGGAATATGCATTACAGACAGTAAAGGAATAAATATTTCAAGTAAAACAAATAAAACATGAGAACACTCTTAAACCGTGTAATCGCATGTATCTCACCCATAGTGCTGATTAATTTGGGCTCCATTTCTAAGTACTTAACACGGAGTGGAGGTGAATTAGTCCTCTCTACAAATTTTCCAGAGAACACTGAAAGCAACTCATCCTACGCAGAAACAATCTCACTTACTTTTTCTCCTGGACTGAAATGTATCCAATAAGGAAATTTTGGCCATCATGTGTGTTTTACGGTTTTACGGGTGTGGTGGTCGTGAAAGTCATTTGAGATACTACTACAGCGGTAGCACACCGTTGATGTGGAGGCTCTGGCCGATTGTACATGGCCAAATGTGCGTGGATGTGCGGGCTGATTCTGCCAACAGCATGAAAGATTTGAAGGGTGGCAGTATACGTCAATAACAAGAATAAACTGATTTATGACACGGGGTGTGTGTGCGACAAATTGGGGGGGGAGGGGGTGAGCAGAGTTCTGCTTCTGTCCTCCCTCCCTCTTCCCCACTTTTGCCTCCTCGTCTGTTTAGCCCCTTTCATCTCACCGATCCCTCTACTCCTTACTCATCTCATTTATTTGGCTGG